CCCCCCCCCCCCCCTTTAAAATTCACTAAAACAAACATTTCTGAAAAGAAACAGTCCCACAAAGGCCACATTCTCAGCCTGGTAAATATTCTGTCCTGTGCAGGGGAGGACAATGTTATCTACTGTATGGAAAACGCTTATCTGAATCTATAACCTGACCCTTTTCTCTGGCTGAACATGGAGAAGAACAACTCCTGAAGAAGTCTGAACTCAGTCTCAGGAGCTTGTTTTTGTGCTTGCTCATAGCTCTACCCTTGTCTGTCACTGTGGGTTCAAAAGAGTTTCAGTCAGTTTGTGATCACCCTGTATTTCCAGGAGTAATGGTAGAATATACAAGTAATTTTCAAGCCAGAAAACTGAACCTCGCTGGAACCACCCCTCCTAACGCTCAGTCTGGCAGGGTGCACTGCCAGTAGACTCGAGTCAGAGCTCCAAACCTGTGCTCTTCCAGGCTTATTCCTGTAAGAAAGGTGCATCCTAATCTCACAGCCCTTCACTAATGGGAAAATGTTGACATTAAAAAAAAAAAAGGGACATGAAAACATCAAATTATTCCAGATGTCCCGTGAATTTCCCAAACAGCAGTGCTGGCTCTCACAAATCCATTGTAGCTGCTCATGGAATATAGATCCGCTGGCTGTAAATAAAGAGAATCCCCTAAAGTATTCCCACATGAACAGAAGGAAGACTGGAAGCATTCAGAAAGCTAATGATTAACCCAAAGATGAGAATATGGATACGATTATCCCTGTTGGAGAGATGCTGCTTCCCTCTCGAGACCCCGCAGAGCTCCATGGCGCTAGGTGCTGTAGAAATGCTTAATTTGGCCAGATCGATTTTCCAAACTGAGAGTCACAGTGACAAAGACAAACCTTAATTTTTATCTGCTGCAGTGATCAAAGGGGTGTTTCTGTTTAACTGACCTGACATGATTTACTTTCGCATATAAGATCTAGCCATATGTGTAGGTTGAAATCTCCAACTAGTGCAAATAAATCGGGCTCCAAGCTCTGCCCTTAAGGGGGGATAAATCCAATATTCTGAGTAGGCTATTAGACATAACAGTCAACATTTAGTGTAGACACACATCCATTCAAATGATAGCGACTTGGAAAATATGTATACTAAATACTGGGTCTATTTTGAAATAAATAAAAAACAGGTTTCAGGAGAATTGGAAAGTATTTCAATTATGAGGGACAAAAGCGTAAGGAGTAAAATGGGGTAGGAATGCAATTAATAGTTTTTAAAGGTGCAGTGTGCTCATTATGCAATGATTTACTAATAGATTTACAGCAGTGAGCAGATTTTTATGAGCTCGGATATTTCAGGCAATGAATGATTCAGCTTGTACTGTTTTGTGCCACAGAGAAATGAATACAAAACTGTTTTTATCTGTCATTTCTGCTCAGTCAATAATCAGTCAATGAACTCCTTTCATACAAAATCCACTTATCTTTTTTTTTTCCCCCCTACAAAAATATTTCCTTTCTGAATCTTGATTGCTATGATCATTAACTAGATAAATGAATCTGAAGTAACGTCAGAGCTGTAGCTCTCTTGGGAGAGCCACATGATTAGCGAGGAATTGAATGAAGTGCTAAAAGAGGGTCATATCTAGAAGAAATTCTTCCAGCATCCCTCTAGCAGAGCTAGGAGTCAAGCTGCATTTCCATCCCTGGAAAATGTCACGTTTCCCAGTATTTCCATTTAGGATCAGAGCGAGTCGGCCACAGCAGCTTTCCACAGAAGGAAATTTTAAAATGCAATTCCAAAGAGCTAAGAGGAATTTTGGGGGTAAAATTTCCAAGCGATTCAGCCAGCTGGTGCCAGAAACCAGGCAATCACAGCCTGGCAGGAGACCAGCAGAAGAGCTGGACAAGCGCTCTGCATGCCTGGCTCTGGGGAAGCCTCCAAGGCACTGCCCAGCCCTGCCCAGTGCGGCAGCTCCACGGAACCAGCACAGCCCAGTGGGAAGCTTTTTGCCTGCTCTTCTTCCCCAGGACCGTACCTCCCGGCATCCCGAGGCATTTCCTGGGACTACTTCCAAAGGTGCAGAAATGTAGCACCTTGGGTGTGCACCTGATGGACGTCTGTGGTTGACAGCCACCTCTCATTCCTTGATGTCCCTCAGCAGCAACAGGGAGTGGTTTAATGCCAAACCATGGGACAACTCTTCTAGGTCCTGTGGAGCCCCACAGGGAGCTCCACGGCCCCCTGGGCCATACTGTCTTCTCACCTTCTTTCTCTCTTATACAGCAGCTCAGGAAGCTTTTGCCACCTGGAGATACCAACAAACACTGTCCAGATCAATGAGAGAATGGGGGATGAGGGCATTTCTCTCCCTGTGCCCCCTTCCCTTTTTGGCAATCCTTTCTTGAAAAAAACCATATCTCTCTAGAAGGACTACCGGCCATGAAGGAGTAATTTTGCACACCCTGCCCCATTGCCACATTTTCTGTGTGAGAGACAGGCAACATCTTGAGCCCAAACCATCTCCCTGTTGGCTGACAGCTCCATTTTAGCATCAGGATCAGTTCAATAAGTGGTTAAAAGATGCGAGACAAAGGACTGGAGAAGTGGAGCAAGGGCCCCTGCTCACAGAGATTTAATGAGACCTGAGCTGTTCAGCAGATCCGTAAATGAGCTGGGGAAGAGAGCAAACACTGAGATGGTAAAGCTTTGTAAATCTTTTTTTTTTTTTTTCTCTACAAAGTGAAGCCTGACTGCAAAATTGCCAAAGAATCTCAGGATACTGAGTGCCTGAGCAACCAAATAGCAGGCAAAAATCAGTGTTGGTAAATGCAATGATGTAATGCATTTCAGAAAAAAAGCAACTTCAATTATATATTTTTCAACAGTGGGTTCTAAACTAACTATCACCATCCAGGGAAGAAATGCTGGACTCGCTGTGGATAGCTCTCTCAAATTGCCAGCTCTTTGCTCACCAGCAATCAAAAAAGACAAATAGAGAGTTAAGAATTGTTAAGAAGAAATAAACAACAGACAAAAAAACACCTTTAGGCCACTGTATAAATCCATGCTGTGCTCATAGCTTGACCGCTGCATCCTGCCCTACTTACCCCTTCCTGAAACTAGAAACACTACTGCAAAGGGCGACAAGGATGCTTTAATGAAAGAAGCAGCCCTTTGTGAAGAGAGATGAAAACTGCCTCCCACAGCATTCTCCTGGAGAAGCTGGCTGCGCCCAGCTTGGATAAGTGCACTCTGCACTGGGTTAAAAACTGGCTGGACGGCTGGGCCCAGAGAATGGTGGTGAATGGAGTCAAATCCAGTTGGCGGCCGGTCACAAGTGGTGTTCCCCAGGGCTCAGTGTTGGGGCCAGTTCTGTTTAATATCATCTTCATTGATGACCTGGATGAGGGGATTGAGTGCACCCTCAGTAAGTTCGCAGATGACACCAAGTTGGGTGGAAGTGTCGATCTGCTGGACGGTAGGAAGGCCCTGCAGAGGGACCTGGACAGGCTGGGTCGTTGGGCCGGGACCAACTGTATGAGATTCAACAAGGCTAAGTGCCAGCACCTGCACTTCAGTCACAACAACCCCATGCAACGCTACAGGCTGAGGGAGGAGTGGCTGGAGAGCTGCCTGGCAGAAAAGAACCTGGGGGCGTTGGTTGACAGCCACCTGAACATGAGCCAGCAGTGTGCTCAGGTGGCCAAGAGGGCCAATGGCATCCTGGCTTGTATCAGGAATAGTGCGGCCAGCAGGACCAGGGAGGTGACAGTGCCCCTGTACTCAGCACTGGTGAGGCCGCACCTCGAGTACTGTGTTCAGTTTTGGGCCCCTCACTACACGAAGGATATCGAGGTGCTGGAGCGTGTCCAAAGTAGGGCAACGAAGTTGGTGAAGGGTCTAGAGCACAAGTCTTATGGGGAGCAGCTGAGGGAACTGGGGTTGTTTAGCCTGGAGAAGAGGAGGCTGAGGGGAGACCTTATTGCTCTCTACAACGACCTGAAAGGAGGTTGTAGCGAGGTGGGGGTCGGTCTCTTCTCCCAAGTAACGAGTGATAGGATGAGAGGAAGCGGCCTCAAGCTGCACCAGGGGAAGTTTAGGTTGGATATTACGAAAAACTTCCTCACTGGAGAGGTAGTCAGGCACTGGAACAGGCTGCCCAGGGAAGTGGTTGAGTCTCCATCCCTGGAGGTATTTGAAAGACAGGTAGACGTGGTGCTCGAGGACATGGTTTAGTGGTGGACTTGGCAGGGCTAGGTTAACGGTTGGACTTGATGATCTTAAGGGTCTTTTCCAACCTTAACGATTCTATGATTCTATGAAAAAGGCGCGGACTTCCAGCTTGCAGAAAAGAATAATTGAGGGGAAAATCTGGTAGAGGTCTCTAATGAGTGGCAAAGAAAAAGTGAACAGGGACAGCCAATTAAATTATAACACAGAAGCGGCATCCAATTCAGTTGTCAGGAAGCAGGTTTACACCAACAAAATGAACTGCTCTTTCACACACGGCACACTTGCCTTGTGGCACTCATTGCCACAGGCTAGGGAAGGTAGCAGAAGTAAAAACAGGTATGTTTTTCCTTTAGATAGATGAAGGGAAGGCTTTGTCTGGCTAGTAGCTACCTTGGCCTGGATTTATTTTCTGGCTGGGTTATTCAGTATGCCAGTGTGAAGGCAGAGCCATGGAAAGTTCATTTTACACATGCTCTTGTCTTGTGCAGCCTTTCCCTGATCATCCACTGCTGATCACTGAGGGAAGCTGGATGATAATTTCAATGAGTATTTCTGCATCCCAAAATACTGGGAGATGGATTACTTGCTTTCTTCTCTTGACCTCATGCTTTAGAGCTGTGTCATATACTGTGTGAAAGATCTCATTATAATGGTGCCAGGGGATGGGAGTGGAGATGCTGTTTTGCCTGCGAGTGTGGCTGATACTTTAATGGGGCCAGCTTTCCTCAAAAAACAAAGGAGAGGAGCTGGGCACACAGTCCCTTGCCTGGGACTTGACTGGTGGTGTTTTAATCTACTGACATATGTCCCAGCAGGATGAACTGAATGTTCTTAAGGTTGTTGAATCCTGACTGTTTGACCACTGGCATTTCAGAAAAATTAATTTTTAAAACATCACAAAAAGCCTAGATGGACTGATACAAAGACAACATAGTAACAAACCATACATATGCCATCCTGACTGCCCTCATCCTTCCACAGCCAGCTTGGTCACAGAAAAGGGCGCTGTGGCTCCCTGAAGCCTGGGCTCTTGTAGCCACCTCATGTGCCGTTCACCGCCTCTTGGTTGCAAATACTTCACAGAGTCACAGGATGGTTGAGGTTGGAAGGGACCCAAATTTCCCAAACCCCTGGGGGTCTCCAAAGGCCCCCCTTGGAGCTGGGGAGCCTTTAGGCTTCCATTGAACTCCACCATGGGGTGTCTCCTTCTGAAGAGCAAACGTAGAGACAAACATACCCTGGGCCAGACCTCCCACTGATATTTAACTCTGATGGTCACACAAAATGGATGAAAAGCTAACAGAGGTCCTTGTGGTCATCCTTCAGATTTGGAAGTGTCCCTGAAATTTGTCCCTTGGAGGAACCCTCTCCACAGGCCCAGTCTTTCCACCCCACTGCCATGAGTGACTGATAAAGCACTTGGACTGTGAACAAGCCTTCTTCCCCAGGGTATCTCACATGCTTTCATTTTGATTTCTATCTTGTGAAACATTAGCATATTAGGAGAACCAGAACACATTACAGTCGACGTTTTTCTGTGCACTTTTAGGAAATGCAGCAAGCAGTTGATAGCACAGTTAAAACACATCTGATAATGTCACGAGCACCTCTCTCGGCAGGCTGGAATTTCTTTCCCTCATGCTCTCAACTGGTTGTCAAACTAAGCATGTAATCTGAATGGCTAAATTAGCACCATGCTATGCTTTGTTTTACCTTTTCTGTAATTTACAGGACATAAAAGCCTATTAAAAAGTTGAAGTAAAACTCCAAGCAGCATTATAATGTATATTGAATTAAGGGTTAGATAACATGCATCAAACTTGCACATGTCCTGGCTGGACATACCCTACCTTTCTGTCCCTCTCCTCACTGATAGCTTGTCTCTTTTACAAGGAGGCAGCTAGCTGCAAAGTACTTTCTGAAAGCCAAGCAGCTCACCAGCCAATATTCTTTTTGCATAAAACCTGTGAATACATTTCACAACACAAGCATGGATCCCTACTTAGTTTTCTTTGGGGTATAAACCGTTAAAGGAAGCAGTTTAACAGCAGCAAATACACCAGCTGCATATGTCTTGAGGCACAGATGGCAGACAAACAAATAGACATATTGGTATCACTGTACAACACGATTTGCTTACCAGATTGAGGACTGTCAAATATTTCCACTGCCCACCGTAAAGGAACACTTCAGATGGCCGCTCTTCTGTTCTTATATGCAAGATTGAATAGGCGACAAAAAAATACCAGACAAAAGCAAGGCAATGGTACGTTGCGAGAGTGGAGATTTCCATGCTTTAGCTAAGAGTAAGTGATAATCGGTCCAAAAGCAGCTTTTCTCTTGAGGCCCTCGGTCGCTGTGTATGGGAAATGGCAGGGCAGGAGGGTTTACTTCGGAGCAGACTCAGGACACGTTGCCACTTCGCCCTTGTCGAAAGGAATATTCACAAGGCTGTGAACTTTGCTTCTATTTGTTTCTCTTTTCACTGTACAGATAGGCTGGAGGGGGCGAGAAGAATAGGCTTATTCCCCGGATTTAAATGCCTTGCTCAAGATTAGCACAGATTAGTTGTGGAGTTACATAAGTTTTTGGGTTTTGTTTGGGTTTTTTTTGTAAAAGTGGGGGGAGCGTTGCTGCTGATTTTGTGTAACAGGCTGTCGTGCTTTGGGTAGCAAGTGAAAACAAGCGGCATTTTCCTCGCTCGTAGCTATGGGTGCAGCCATGTCTCCAGCTCAGCTTGGGAAGTGCTCTGTGACTGTTTTTTCCTTGTACCAAAGGAAGAAGTGGGAAACAAAATGGTCTGTGAAAGAAAAACCGAGTTGATTTGTTGATAGGCTACAGAGGTGGCAAGGAAGCTGAGAGGATTCGTAGGCAAAGGTCCTTGGGGTTGAAAATCACTGTGAGCGTTGACATTTTTTTGTGGGAAAAGGCTCTGCCGCCTTTACGCTGCTCCATGCAGCTGGGATCTGTCACAACCATGCATGGCAGGTCGGCCAAACCCCAACTCACTTTGAAGCTCTGGCAGGGATGGAGACACAGGGCAAAGGTCGTGGGTGACAAACCCTAAGCACTGAGTAGGGCATCTCGCCTACCGGCTTCCTTGCTTGCTGCCATTCACCTTCAGACAGCCCCTCTTCCCTGGCACGACATTATCGCGCTGTTGGGGCTGGGGTACGGAAGAGAAGAACTGATACTCATGCAATGATCCTAAAATGAAGTGATCAAAAAAGTTCCCATGGAAATGCTCATTTTTCCCTCCCCTCCTGCCTCACCAAGCAGCCCTAATTAGCACTGGAAAATACACATGGCATTTCCTAGTGGGGCCAGAGGCTCTGTAATTGCAGTGCTGTCAGCAGTAATTGCCACTTGAGTGTTTTGTGGGGGCTTTGGCCGGGAGCGCATACCGTGCCCCAGCCCGTGCCCGCACCTTCCCCACACAGGATGGGGAGATGGGGCGCTCTTCTCGCCCCTGTGGAGGCTGTCCCCATGGGCAGGGCTGGTCTTTGGCCAAGCAGACTCCATTAAGCGATCTCTTTTTTTTTTGGCTCTCCTAACTGGCCTACAGGCAGCATTGAGCAATCTACTGTGTTTTGGTTTGTTTTGGTTTTTCTCTTGCATTTTTTTTATCCCCCGATACCAGACATAAGGCTCCGTGTGGGATGATCTCCTATGAACTCAGACAGCAATATGCATACATGTTGGGAAACAGCCCTTGCACTAAGGCACTTCATTATCCTGTGTTTCATTGACTTCTCCCCTAATTCAGATTACCCGCATCCAGATTCCCCAGGCATTCCAGTCATCACAATTCCAATGAAATCTTTCTGCCTCACTTAGGAAAAATAAAGATGTAGATCCTTTTGTGGTTGGAGGAGAAAACCCCTTGCCAGAAAAAAAAAAAAAAAAAAAAAAAGGAAAATTTTTTTTAAATCTTAAAAACCCCCCCCCTAAAAAAAAAAGTTTAAAATTTTTTTTTTTTTTTTTTTTTTTTTTTTTAA